TGGGATTTTTAATGGATTTTCTATAATACGGACCGTTAAATGATGACCGGAGAAAGGTTGGATTATTCTTTTCCAATTCCCCTAAATCAAAAAGGTGCGCGAAATGGAATTTCCTTATAATTTTACAACGCATTATGTTTGTGCAATGCATCTTTGTCCCACCTCCCGCCTATGCTTGCTTTTAATTTGCAGGTTTTTTAGAAACGGTGTCTACATGTTTTTAATTCCATTGGTTATAAAATCTATAGTGATTATTAATGATGTTGGCATTTTTGTACTACTTCTTAATGGATCTTTACTTTTTTCCTTCGCTACTTCGAAGCCAAGATGTATTCAAAAAAAGATTTGAATAGTTTTCAGAAAAAGTATACAATCAATTGGATTGGAAATGAACAGTGATTGTCGGATCACTAGAATTACTACAATGCGGTTCTGAACAGCGACATATGGAAATCAGAATTGATGATTTATTTTCATGTATGATTCTAAATCACGTACACCTCTATCTCCAACTCCTCAAGTTTGACATTCTCCAATAATGTTCTCTGATAAATTTTGAGTGAACAGCGAACCTTCGGCTAGATAGGCTAAGTAAACCAAAATTTTAGTAACTAGCCAACCATATACTTATCTCATGAGAATCCGATTCAAGGATGAATCATAATGAGAAACTAAGAAGAAACAAATAGAATAAGCGGAGTTGGGAAAGTGAAGAGTGGATGATGAGGGGAAGTAGAAGAAACCGATGAAGTAAAGCAAAATGAATATACTAGATAAAGAGTGATGTCTCTGTATTATCTTACTAGGTATATATACTAGTACATACGATAGTATTTATTTATTGTTTTGTGTTATTTTTAGGAAAAATCAAGAGAAAAGTGAAAAAACTTGAGATATTAGGCTATTCGTATCCTTGCTTTTCTAGGAAGTGGATGATGTAGATGGATGATGAGGGAAAGTAGAAGAAGGATGTTTTCTTTTGGACTGAAATTTGCTGGTCTGGTCTGGTCTGGTCTGTTTAAGTCTGGTCTGGTCTGGTCTGGTCTGTTTAAGTCTGGTCTGGTCTGGTCTGGTCTGAACTGGTCTGGTCTGGTCTGGTAAACGTCTGGTCTCTGTGTATTTTATAACTACGGAAGTCTGGTCTGGTCTGGTCTGGTCTGTTTAAGTCTGGTCTGGTCTGGTCTGGTCTGTTTAAGTCTGGTCTGGTCTGGTCTGGTCTGGTCTGAACTGGTCTGGTCTGGTCTGGTAAACGTCTGGTCTCTGTGTATTTTATAACTACGGAAGTCTGGTCTGGTCTGGTCTGGTCTGTTTAAGTCTGGTCTGGTCTGGTCTGGTCTGTTTAAGTCTGGTCTGGTCTGGTCTGATCTGTTTAAGTCTGGTCTGGTCTGGTCTGGGACTGAAAACAGTCCAAAAGAAAACATCCGAAACTGATAAGTAAAGAAAACAGAAATATAAGGATAAAAAGTGATGTTTCTGTATTATCTTATTAGGTATATACTTCGTAATACATAATTATTTGTTGTTCTATGTTATTTTTAAGAAAAATCAAGAGAAGAGTTGAAAACTTGAGATATTGGGATGTTTTTACTTGGACTGAAATTTGCTAATTTAGTCTATTTAAATTTGATCTGGTCTGGTTTGATTTGATAAATGTCTGGTCTCTTTGTGTATTTTATGACTATAGAAGTCTGGTTTAGATTGTTTAAGTCTGTTCTGGTATGTTGTGGTTTATTTTAGTCTGGTCTGGTCTGGTCTGGGATTGAAAATAGTGTAAAAACATTCTTAGGCTATTCATATCCTTGCTTATTCTTGGAAGAGCAATATTCATTATTTTATTTACATATGATTAATAAAATTGCTTATGTTATTAAAAATATTTTATCTTTTTATATTTGAAATTGTCATGGATAGTTATAATTTAAATATCGCCAAGTTTTGAATTAAAGAAAATGGATTAAAAAAAATCCAACATATTTACTCCGTATTTAACAACACAAACTTATCTTCTTAAAACTAAATGTGATTATTGAGATTTAAAAAAAAAAACTCTATGTGACATGTTGATGTGAGCATTTCCTCTGTTTTCACCGTGGTTTCTCTTTTCAGAGAAGGGTGAAAGGGGGTGATTTTCCTACTCATAGGGTGCATTTGGGTAATAGCATGTTAGCTCCCAATCCGTCGTTTCTTCCAAAAGAAAACGCTGCTTTTAGCAGCATTTAGGTAACATGCCCATTCCCAATTAGATGTCTTGAAAATTCTTGTTATACACATACATGCCCTTAAATTGTTGTGTACACGAGCATCTATAAAAACACCAGAATTTTAGAAGAAGCACGGTTAAGGGAGTGTTTGCAATTGTTTCAACTTTAAAAAAGTGATTTTTTAAAGTGATTAATAGTAAAAATTTGTAGTGTTTGAGAAAAAAGTGATTCTGAAAAAGTAAAAGTTAGTAGTGTTTGATAAAATAAGTACTTTTTGTGTAATAGAAAAAGTGAGAAGCAGTTTAAAGCACCCTTCTACCTGCTTCCAACTTTTAGCTTTTAAGTGATTAATTTAAGCAGAAGCTGTCATTTGAAAACACTCTTTTCAATTTTTTTTAATCCAAAAGCTGAAAAGTGCTTTTTTTAAGCAACTTTAGACACTCCTTAAATTAGGAACGTACATTGTACGATCGACCATACCATGCGTGTATCTTATGTTGAAAGAAATGACTATACTCAGGAATGGTGCCAAGTCAGGAATGGTGCCAAGCATTGATTTGTGGTTTCAATTGGGATTAGTGATTTTTTATGTGTGTGTATATATATATACACACATATGTATATATATTGAAATTTTAAATAATGACACCATAGTTTTTAAAAAATAAGGTCAATATATAAGAAATGACACCACATATTCTCAACATCTATCGTCTTTATTTAACATTTTTTCCCCCAAGTTTGATTGAAACATCAATAAACTAAGAACGATTGTTTCTGAATTTTTTTGAATAGTGTTAGCAGTTAAACGGTTATTTTTATATAGAAAGTACTACTTAGTGATTTCAAAAGTTTCTGGATATATATTTCTCTGTATTGATTTAGTTGATGTATAAATACTTTAAATAAATTCAATATTGAATGATTGAGTAAAATGAACAACAGAAACTCATAAGTGATGTTCTAAGTAATTCTCACAAAACTACAAAAGTTCGTGTTTTTAAGAGTTAAAATACAAAAACTACTTATTTATTAACATTTTTATGCATTATTGTATTCATAATATTACTTTAATTGTTGGCACCACTAATATTATAGCCTGGCTCCATCCTTGGCATCTGTACCATTTAAAAGAAATAAATATTACTATCTCAGTCCCTCTAATATTGGGACAAAAGGGAGTGATGTTGTTTTTAAGAAAAGTAGAATTATGTGGTTGATAATGATGAGTTGATAAAGTGAGAATAAAATAAAAATAAATTAGTGCCACACAAATGTTACCAAATATGGTATGTTACAATATGAGACATCCATAAAATGAAAAAAATGGGACAATTATAGGGGATGGAAGGAGTAAATATCAGAATGATGAAATTGAGTATCCTTATATTTGAATTAAGGATGGGCAAAATGGTTTGGTTTAACCAAGCTGAACCAAAAATTGGTGGTTTGGTTTGATTTGGTTTTGGTTTGAGTTTACTTAAATAAACTGTTTTGGTAACAATTTGTTCAAACCGAATAGTTTGGTTTGATTTGGTTTAAAATCGAAAAATCGCAAACCGAACCGAACACCGAACAACTTATATATAAATACACACACTTTGTATTTATCTTCACTCTTCATTTTTAAGATATAAATAAATAAATTAGACATGAAAAATGCACATTTAGAATATATCATTCTAACTTGTACAAAATTCATACATTCATTATGACAAAGTTAGCTAATATGACATATTTGTATTTATTATGTTTGACGATAACAATAGCAAATTGCATTTATATTTTTTTACATGATTCATCTGAATAAAATTGTGAATATTACAACATTTGTACCATCGACTCCTTTAGTTTTTTTGAATATTTTATGTGATATTTAAATGTTAATTAACTATAATCTTATTTTTTTGTGAGAAATGAATCTTTTTCTAGTGTTCGAAAAAATGGTAGAAGTTTTAATTTATAATAGGGAAAAATAATTAAAATACCTCAAACTTTCAAGGGGTGTGAGGTAAGCACCCCCAACTTGCATATGTAATTTAAATACCCCAAACTTTATATAAAAAGTTATTTTAGCACCATGATCATGTATTATTTCTTTCAAAAATACTACTTTTTGATGTTAATTTCATAATTTCAAATATTTTACCATTCATGAAGATACAATTAACATTTTAAACTTACATTATGAAATAAATAGTTCTACCCTTCCACTCCATATAATTGCAACGTTTTCAATTTGCAATTTTTAATTATGCAATTAACACCATAAATTTACATTTTTGAAATAAATATTACATGACCATGGTGTTAAAATACGTAGTAACTTTTTATAAAAAGTTCAAGGTATTTAAATCACATATGAAAGTTTGGGGTGTTTATCTCACACCCCTTCAAAGTTTGGGATATTTTAATTATTTTCCCCTTTATAATATATTATTATTTCTTTTTATAACTTTTATTTCCTTTTAAATAGTCAAAAAAAGAAGATGAGATGGACTACCACTTTCATTTTCTAATTCTAAAATATAGAACTCGATCAAATAAAATAATAAACATAAGAAAATGAATCAAATCAAACTAAATTAGGTCTTAACTTTTCACTGTGGTAAACCGAACTTCAAACCGAATTGAATTGCCGAAACCAAACCGGAACACAAATGATTTTAGTTTGGTACAAATTCTCTAACACGAATAAACCAAAACTGAACCGAAACGGAAGAAAACCGAACCATAATCAAGTTACCCACCCTTTTTGAAATTGAGAAGCATGCCATTCCAATCCAGTATCATCGATATATTTGCCGCTCAATGCCTGATTTGTCATAGCCTACTCCAACAGTCCCAAGGGAAATTGACTCGGTCCTGTTATCGACCTGCAAAACCCAGCTAGAATTCCACCCAGGACTTGCAGGTCACAGAAATGGAGGAGAAACCAGACAACGAATCACCAACATCCCCTCCAAAAATCTCACCTCCATCTTCTACGTCAACTCCTTCCAGCTCCAAATCTTCAATTCGAACCAGGAATATGGAGAAAAGCCGGGATGCATTAGCTCTCCCCTTGTACGCTGATGCGGGAAATGAGTCCCCGAACAAGAATTGGAGTTCTGGCCCTGCATTGCTTCCTGCCGGTTCTCCAGCCCAGCAGTCGACACTCAGTTCTCCAGCGGGATTGGAATTTCACAAGAAACGGACGCGCTCCAATGAGTTTAGCAAATTGGGCTCTGAGGAGGCAGGATCACCTACCACGAAAGAGAAGTCGCTAGCTTTGCCGGAAGCCAAACTGAAGACTTATAATTTGAGAAACAAGTGCTCGAAACCAGCCATTTCTACTTCAGGTGGAAAGAAATGCTTGAAATCTCGACAGTATAAGAGAAGCAATTCCCCGGAGGTCACATCAAAGAGTGAAGCTTTGAATGGAAATGGATTGGTTAGCGAAGATGGGAATGAAATTGTATCTAAGAGAATTGATTCTCCTAAGAGCTCCTTTAAGAAAAAAGCTGCCGTTAGTAAAGATGAATGGATGGCTACTGTTTCAAGTGATTCAGCTGAATCATCTGGAGAAAGAAGATCTCCAGATAAGAATGTGAAGAGTTTAAAGTGCTTAAGGTCCCAAAGGAACAAGTTTGGAGTGGTTTCTGAAAGAAAGGTAACGAGAACATCTGCACTGGGTAATGGGCGTGGTTCTGAGAGTAAAGAGTTGGCATCAAAAGGAAATGTGTCACATACCACCTTGAAAAGCGTGAAGAACAATCATAGTCTCAATGTCTGTTTTGTTGGGGAGCCTATACCTGCAGAAGAAGCCCAAGAGAGGTGGCGATGGCGGTATGATTTGAAGGTATCAAACTACTTTTATCTTGCAGTATTTGCTTGATATAGTAAATAATTGGTGAACTACATGTATCTAGCTAACATAATCTCGAGTAGGAATATGAGGCAAAATATTGCAATTTCTTGAGTTACTTAAAGAGACCGGTATATATATATATATATATATATATGTAATTAAGTGTCTGCTCTTCTTTGTTATGAGGTAGTGGCGAGTCCATGCAATTCTGGACGCGATTTTCACTATGGGTCATCCGGAAATAGTCTCTTTGTGCTTTAGTACAAGAGTAAGACTGCGTACATCCGACCCCCTTACCCCACCATAGGTGGGAGCCTTTGCAGCACTGGGGTAATGATGATGATGAATGATGATGACATATATGTAATTTGGATCAAATGAAAATGTGTTTTAATGATAGTAACGACAATGAATTTGATGTCATGCGTTAATGTGAGAATCGTGCATTATCTCAAACATAAATGTGCACTGCCATGGATTAGAAAATGCGGTGATTCTTTCATAAAGAAATTGAATTTTATGTCATGCGTTAAATGATGCATTATCTTAATAAAAAACATGCACTGTCATGGAAGCAAAATGCGCTTGTTTTTGCATCATTCTCATTTCTCATGGAAGAATTATTCTCATAGGTGATAGTAGTTACGTGCTTCAATCATCCTTATTAATAAAAGTATCTTTTTAGTTAAAAAAAATACGATGCGGCTAAAATAAAAAGTATATTTTCTGTGACATGCGCTATTGTGCTTACATGATACATTTTTTGAGGTGGAAGAAAAATTGCTTTTTTTTTACCAAAATGTCATAGTGTATATGATTGAAATGAGTGCATTGCCAACACATTTAGAACCATTAGATCTCAAATTTGAAGCATAAGATTTATTCTTACTTGTCATGGGAATATCTCCGTCCGTCCGTCTAGTGAAAACCCCTCTCAAAATGAGAACCTATTTTAAAATGAGAACTTTTAATCCCCATCATTCATTTTTATAATCAATGAGTAATAATGACAAGGTGACATTTTGTAAATATTTAGGATTTATTGCGAAAAAGCCTCATTTGAATTTGGAGTAATTATGATTATGACTCCATGTGATCCCTAACCAATGATTGTAATAAATGAAAGGTTGTGATTAAAAGTTTTCATTATAAGGAGTTCTCATTTTAGGAGGGGTTCTCATTAGAACCCTACCCTATATATATTGGTGTTAACATTCCTTATATAAATCTAGGTATGTGTATATACATACAAGCAGACATACATACATACATACAAACATTTATATATATATATATATATACATATATAATTATATGTATATATTTGAAGTGTAAATATATGATTTACGATCAAATACGAATGTAGTTTTATGGAAGAAAAGAGAATGAATGTGGTGCATTAAATTTTAGATGTAAATGTTTCAAAAGATGCTACACTGCGTAAAGTTTGTGAAATAGTGCATTGACAAACACTGCATTCTTTGAAACATAAATGTGCACCATTTAGCGTCATCCACATTTCTAGCAGGGATACCAATCTCACTAGAACTGCATCTTTATATGGTTATGGAGATATAGAGAGAATTTGTGACGCAATTGCAGAACATAGTAAAAAAGTTATGTTCCAGAAATTTAATGCTAAATCATGATTCTAAATGGAAAGGTTTTTAATTGTATAAGTTATCCAAAGAAATGAAATGAAAATGATCTAAAGAAATGAAATGGCTACTGTTACTACTTGGATGAATGGGGAGAGCAATGAATATCACTCTAAGATGGGTATGAATGGATTCTCTGACTCTAAGATTAGTATGGATCAATTTCATCCCTCTCCGATTCAGATTCATATTGCTCGTCCTATTGATATATCTATCTTTTGTTGTAAATATGTTGAACTACCATCACAGATGAATGTAGTGATCCTTATTGTTACAGTAATGATCCTGTATGTCTTAGTAAAAGGTGCAATAGGAATTTAGGAAAACTATGCGTGTAATTGCCAGTTTTTATGTCACTATTAAATTATTATTACTATGTCATTGCCTCACCCAGTGTGAGGTATCGGTGCTACCATCAAACATGCCATTTTGACCACTGGCAGCAAATCCTGGTGATTTTTTCCGACAACTTTTCCCTGTCAATTTCTCAAAAGTTTTCAGAAAAACATTCCGGTGGTGGGTACCAGCTGACGGCTAGGGCTACGATTTTCAATGACATTTCCTTTGGATACTTTTGTCTTTCCAAAGTGCAGAAGTGATATTTATGCCATTATACTAAGACTGCAATGTAAGATTAAGAGCATGCTCTAAGCTTTTGAAGCAAAGAAACAAATGAAAATGATATGAGTCTTAAACCAATAGGATAGTAGGCTCTCAAGCAGTCAAGCTCATTGGTTTTCTATCTTTGGTCTTCCTTGTCTATCTTTCAACATTAGTTTGTTACTTTGTTATTAACATTTATTATAGGCTCTTAAAATTTTCAATTCTCAAGTCGTATGCCATTTTTGAATTTGCAGAGTCTAAGAAGAAATAAACGAGGGCAGATTCTAAGGTGAGTATACTTATGAACTTGCCCTATGGGGGTGACAACTAACAAATTTTATTTTTTTCTCTACTTGTAACAGTCGTTCAGCTAACTCATTTATATGTTGCTCTCATTTTCATAGTGCCGACGAAGAAGATGAAGTAATATTGAATGTCGGCTGCCACTATGCTCAAGCCAACATTTGTGGCTTTATTTTGAATATTGGAGATTGTGCATTTATAAAGGTATCCCTGTTATATTATGCTACATATGCATTTATTTATGTTTGCATAACTATCCCAAAATAATGGGTTTTAGCCTTTAGGACCCATTTTGTTGTTGCACATGGTGAAGTCTATCAATTCAAACACGGTTTATTTGATTTTTTGCTTGAATCTATTTTAAAATTTGTCTAGTAGTTACTTAGATCATGTTTATAATAGTCAACTGAAATGGCTAAAGGTGCTGAATTAGATGATAGTGCGGCTGAAATCAATGGCGCTACTAGCCTGGTCAACTATCCTTCAAATAATTTCATATTCTACTAGTGAACTTTAGAAAGTAATACTCCCTCCGTCCCGTTAAGAAGTTCCCGGTTTGACTTACACACATATTAAGGAAATAAACTTACCAAGGGGTAAATTTTACTGTTTTGACACTATTTCGACACTATTTAGAACTGTTTGACACTGTTTTGCACTGTTTGACACGTTTTGATGTAGATAACTCTCCATTTAAGGAAAGGGGGACTTCTTTTTGGGACTGCTAAAAATGGAAAGTGAGAACTTCTTAGCGGGACAGAGGGAGTATATGACAATAAAAATAAAGTATCATTTTTATTCATTGGAGCAACTTCAGCTAATATATACCATGGTGCATGAAGTTTGCCGATGATATTGTGTTGATTGATTAGACACGATCAGATGTTAAATCAAAGTTGGTAGTATGACAACAAACCCTGAAGGGCTAGAGTTTCAGGTTAATTCAAAGCAAGGCTGAGTATATGGAATGCAAGTTTAATGGGGTAGAAATAATGGCAACAATGAGATTACCTTGGGTGGCAAGGAGATCTTAGTTAGTGATATATTCTGTTACATGGGCTCCAAAATTCAGAAGGACGTTGAATTACATGAGTTCCCTACTGGGTAGTATGTGATACAACACGTTTCGGCCGTGTGTACCAGCGGCGTAGAAAGGAGCCCAATTAATTGGTCCACAATTGAGGTTATGACTTAAGACGATACAAAGCGACTGAACTCAACGAACTTTCGGGATGAAACGATTACTCAATGAGGTTCCTCATTGGGTATTGATCAATAGACACAATTATGTGATTCAAAAGAAAAATATTATCCACAGTTTACGTACTTTAAGGCGTCCACATGTAATAATTATCTGGTAAGGGAGGATCTCTTCTTGCAATACACAAGTCCGCAACTATGATCACATATGATGCCACAACTGAAGTTACTAAAAAAATTGAATACAGAAGCAAAAAAATGAAAATTTGTAGGAAGTAATAAGCTGTGGGGGTCCAATTGTCTAAATTGTGACAAAAGCAGATGAAGGATTCAACCAGCTTTGGTTATTTTACTCAATTTACATGGTTTATGCAACCCAAAGTAAACAGCCCCTTACACAAAGATCAACAAATCAAGACAGACACCTTAAGACATCTTGATATAACAGACATTTTAATCCAGATGTTTTAATGGAAAAAAGTAAATAGCCCCTAAGAGGCATTGAATGCCATTAGTGATGAGTGGTTGTGCCTTGGTCCCACAGTTAAAAACATGTTCTGTATGTAGTGTATATGCTATAGTTTGGAATCAATAGACTGCCACAAACATGTTGCACAACTGGCGAAGTGCATGCACAGGGCTAGGAATTGGTTATCTACCTGATAATATGGAATCACCTAGAAATGTCATTCAGATTTTCAGATAATTTAGTTCTGAAATGCTAATTGAGATTGGTCTCTTAGTATTCCGCAATGAAATTTCCTCTGGTTATGTCTTTAAAAGAATTCAGAGTATTCCGCAATGAAATTTCCTCTGGTTATGTCTTTAAAAGAAAGTGAAACTTACATGCTAAGTGATCTCTTCAGGGTGAAGGTGCGAAAAAACACGTTGGCAGGATCCTGGAGTTTTTCGAAACGACAGAAGGAGAAGATTATTTTCGGGTGCAATGGTTTTTCAGAGCTGAAGATACGGTTAGTATTGTCTTAGCTGAAATTTAGATTTCTTCAAATGATCCCAAGCACATTAAACTCTTTGATCCATGCTCTTTCTCTGTGTTCTTGCAGGTTATGAAAGATGCAGCTACTGTACATGATAAAAGACGATTATTTTACTCGACTTTAATGAATGATAATTTACTAGACTGTATTATTTCCAAAGTAAATGTAACCGAGATCTCACCAGGGGTATGCTTCACTAATGAGTTTTTTGTCCTTTCCAATCCTATTCTGGCCGTTTCTATTTTACAGTTGCAATAGTGTATCGTTTTAATTCCGCACTTTGTTTCCTCATAATGATTTTGTTTGATGCTTCACCTCATGTTGTAAAATAGTTGTTTGGCATATGAATGGTGCAGCTTGATTTTCAAGTTGACAATATTCGACCATCAGATTTCTACTATGACATGGAGTACTGCATTGATTATTCAACATTCCGTAACTTGCCAACTGGTAAGCCAAGACAGTCTTTATAGTGTATTTAGAATAGTCCAGACAAAGAAGCGTCTAGACAACCGTTACATAAGTTACACAATTGATTAGAATTGTTAGTTACAATATCTTTGTATTTAATATTATAATTAGTAGTCTACCTTATTGATCCCTAGAATATTGTACAAATAGCTGTTCATTTTATGGAATTAATCAAGCTTTTCAGTCCCAACTTCTCCCTATTCTAAATTCTACTATGGTATCAAAGCCTTGATTCAATGATGGCTCTTGTTTCAAGTATGTTGTCTTAGGAAATCCATCTATGGCCTCAAACAAGCACCTCAAGTCGAGTGTGGTACTGGTCTCTCAGTGGATTTCTTTTATTTTGAGGGATTTCTTTTATCCCTTGATTTTCATCAATCAGTTTCTGTTGCTAGCCTCTTCATATTTTCTTCTCATTCCTCTTATAGTCTTATATCTATGTGATAGTATATGTGTATGATATTATTGTCACTGGCTCTACACCAGCCTTGATTCATCAGACTATTGACTTGTTAGCACAATTCTCATTTAAGGATTTAGGATCCTTACATTACTTCTGGAGCATACATGTCACCCCTACACCAGATGGACTCTTTCTTGATCAACACAAGTACATTACAGATTTATTATGGTGTTGAACATGCACAAGGCGAATCCAGTATCTACACCCATAACTTCCTCAACTTTCTTGACTCTGTTTGATAGTTCGGATTCTTGTGATGCAACTCTCTATCGTCAAGTCATTGGATCACTTCAGTATTTAAACCTCACCAGACCTGACACGACCTTCGCCATCAACAAGCTAGCTCAATTTATGCACAAACCAACAGTGAATCATTGGCAGCTCATGAAACATCTCTTGCGCTATCTTCAAGGAACTGCCTCTAATGGTTTATATATCCGTCGGATTTCTCCCCTTTCATTATGTGCTTATGCTGATGTGGACTGAGCGGGAAATCCAGATGACCGCTCCTCTACCAGCGCCTATGTCATTTTTCTCGGAGAGTTGCTTATTTCATGGAAATCATCCAAGCAGCGCACAATGTCAAATCCTCTACTTTGGATTGAGTCACTCCTTCACGAGCTCTGACATCCCCCTTCTTCTCCTGCGGTTCTTCTGTGATATAATAAAGGCGCTACCACCTCTTCCGCAAATCATGTATTCCATTCCCGAATGAAACATGTTGCCATTGATTTCCATTTTGTTCGCCAACGTGTGCCACATTGCCTTCTTCGAGTCCTTCATATCCCCTCTCATGATCAACTAGCTGACATTCTCACCAAGTCACTTCCACGGTATCGGTTTGTTCTTCTACGTGACAAGCTCAAGATTCTTAGCACTGATAAAATACCCGGCTTGCTGGGGCATATAGAAGAGTCCTGACAAAAAAGAGTCTAGACAACCGTTACATAAGTTACACATTTGATTAGAATTGTCAGTTACAAAATCTTTGTATTTAATATTATAATTAGTAGCCTACCTTATTGATCCCCAGAATATTGTATAAATAGCAGTTCATTTCATGGAATGAATCAAGCTTTTCAGTCCCAACTTCTCCCTATTCTAAATTCTATTATTGTAAACGTGTATCTAAAATATCGGAATTGCTGCAGTTTGTTCAGCCAATAACTGGACATCTCCTTCATTAATCGATGCACTATACGAGCCAATTTCAGCTTATCCGGTGGAACACAGGAGAAGTTGTGAACCTGTGAAAGTGAAATGGTCACTACTAGATCTCTATGCTGGATGTGGGGGTATGTCTACTGGATTGTGCCTAGGTGCCAAGCTCTCTGGTATTAATCTGGTGACTGTAAGTACAATCTTAGTAACTATCAATTAAACAGTTTCTGGTTTTCATAAACTTTTCTGCAGTTTGAAACGTTTTCTTCAAGTTGAACTACTTTGTTCACTGTTGAATCCAGAAATGGGCTGTTGATTGTGAAAAGTCTGCATGCGATAGTCTCAAATTAAATCATCCTGAGACACATGTAAGATGTTATTTGGGGTGGCAATAACATAGCAGCCAGTTTGATCACATCTAAAGTCTAAACTGGCTTCAACTTCATTTTACACTGTTATAGGTTAGGAATGAACCTGTCGAGAACTTCCTGAAACTAGTACAAGAATGGGAAAATCTCTGCAAAGTTTATGGATTAAATGATTCAAAACTTGGCCCTGATGTAATGTTAGAGGACATGGAAGAAGGTGGAGACACTATTGTTTATCTGCCTGATTCTGATGATTCAGATGCAGAGTATGAAATTCTTCGCTTGGTAGATATCTGCTTTGGAGATCCTAATGGTACGGGAAAGTCTGGTATACATTTTCAGGTATACATTTTTGTTACTTAAAATGTATATTCAAAACTACCTTTTCTTTGTTCATATAATAATATGGTTTGACTTGCAACTTGATATTCTCGTAAGAGTACCCAACTTACATAGAACTATAGAAGTGGTGGACCTGAAATATAATTCTTTAGATCCTAGGGTTTCTAATCCGACTGTTTCTGTTACTATACTGTAACGCTCCCTAATCTGGAGCATCCTATGCTACAAGTGTAATACTTTATGTAAGAGCGTTCATGCTGGCCCTTGTCAATGGTAGAGCATAGTGAGGAGAAGATGCTGGAATCGTGGTGGATATAACTGGCCTACACAACCTACGGAGAGGGGGAGCGAGAGAGAAAGAGAAAATTAACCTGACCCAGTTTTCATTTAATCCTTCTTAGGTTCCTTCCTCATTAATGAGTGTATCGGTGTATCCTATTTATAATTGTCAAGAGTCCTTGACTGCTAAGTAGCAGACTTCCAAGCTGCTGGATCCGTCGCTAACCCAGCTAGAATGAAATGCTAATCTAATGCTGCTGAGGCAGATCATGCATGCCCTCCTACTTGTGATGCTGTTGGTAGGCCAGTCCCATGAAAGCATACACACAATTGTACTCTGACCGGAAAAACTTGAATACTTAACAATAGCTTCAATTTTTTGTTCCCACATTATCATCCTTAACTTAAACTTCTATTTTACTGTATTAAGCTCTACTGAGTTCTACTTTACCTAGCTACAGCTCTACTATGACTTGACCTGGCTTTGAAAACTGAATACACTTCTTACCTCTTTTTCTCAATGTTGGTCAACTCTACATGAAGAAGACTCCACATTTATTGGTATGGTTATTGCGAGTAACGACTAGGACACCATATCTTAGATCGAGCTACTCAGACCCAATCCCTCAATTCCCATGGCAAAACGCTACAATCTGCTCAATGCTTAAGGCCCAATGTTTCATGCTCTGAACAGATATTGTCATTTTGTTGGCTGCTTGATATAACTCTCTGTTGCTCGTCCTGATAAGTCCTATACATTCTCTGGCCCAGTTTCTCAAAGTAGGTCAGGGTTGAGCAACATGTCCTTCTGGCATCCGCATGGAGGAGCAACATACTACTGCATGATCTTTGGCTGAAGCCAAGTATAAAGCTATGATGGGGATTGATGGCTCTTACGTGTGAATAAAAGTGGCCACCGCCCACCAGGCGATCTCTTGGTGTTTGACTTTCGTGAGAGGAGGCCTACTTTGGTGCATTGTGAAAGCAGGACAGCTCTGCATCTTTTAGCAAATCCAGTCTTTCACCAGAGAATCAAACATATCAAGGTTAAATTTCACTCTTTGAGAGATGAGATTTTCTCAAACTTTATTCGTACAACTCATGCCCCGACTTGGTTTCAGCAAGCTAACATTTTGACCAAGGATTTGGAGAAGAAACATTTTGGATGCAGATTGGGTTGGCTGTCCTATTTCCAGAAAGAACTGCTGGATATTGTTTCTTTGTTGGTGGAAATTTAGTGTCCTGGAAAAGAAAGAAACAACACATTGTCTCTCGAAGTCTTGATCAAGTGCAAAGTCAGAATATAGAGCCATGACAGATGTTTCATATGAAATGATATGGGTTAAAAGATTACTCAAAGAGCTTGGAACGTATTCTAATAATTTGATGAGGCTTTATTGTGATAACCATTCAACTATTCATATAGCCAAGAATGAAGTGTTTCATGAGAGGACCAAACACATTGAAGTTGATTGCCACTTAATCAGAGATCATGTGGTTGGCACACAATCAAACCCTCCATCGATCATACCGGTGCATGTTAGGACTGAACATCAACTCGCAAACATTTTTACGAAGCCACTCCGTAAATCACAGATAGATTTTATTTGTAGCAAGTTCGGCATGATTAATATCTTCACTCCAACTTGAGGAGGAGTGTTAAAGATATTGCAGCTATATATATGGCCACTCAAAGTAGATTATGTTAGAGATCTATTACAACATCATATATGCATAATTAATGTATATTCTAGTCATTAAGTATAGAATATACACTTTCCTAGATTAGCTATTATACACCTGTATATATTTAGCATTCTTTGTTTATTTGAAACAAAGAAAACATTTCCATACTTCTCTGTTTACAAATATAAGGGTGATGTACAAAAATGTGTCAACTATTGAGGGATTAAGCTTATGAGTTACACCGTGAAACTTTGGGAGTGAGTGGTTGAGCAAAGACTTCGTAAAAGTGTGAAAATTTTGGAGAATCAATTTGGTTTTATGCCTGAACACTCAACAACTGAGGTCATTCACCTTCTTAGACAAGTTGTGGAGAAGTATAACGACACAAAAAAGGATCTGCATTTGGTGTTCATTGACTTAGAAAAGACATATGATAAGGTACCTCGAGAAGTCCTTTGGTGGGCCTTAACTAGAAAAGGCATATCACGTAAGTATATCAGTATCATCATGGATATGTATGATGTTTGTCTTATAAGTGTCCGCACTAGTGTAGAGAAGACCACATAGTTCCCTATTACTATGGGACTGCACCAAGGATCTGCTCCGAGTCCTTTCTTATTTGTTATAATCATGGATGAACATACGAAGTCAATTCAAGAAGATATACCGTGGTGCATGATGTTTGCCGACAATATTGTATTGATTGATGAGACACACTCTTGTGTTAAAGTGAACTTGGAAGTCTGGCGATAAACATTGAAGACCAAGGGTTTCCGACTGATCCGAAGCAAGACTGAGTATATGGAGTGCAAGTTTGGTAGAGGTACAAGTAGTAGCAACAATGGGATTACTCTTGATGGTAAGGAGAGAGCATGGCTTCTTAGGTTGGTTGAGAGTATGGCTTTGGAGAGAGAAAAGTGGAGGGCGCACATTCGTGTGGACGATTGATGTTTCTACATTTCCCCTCTCTTTTCTTTTATCGTTTATCTTCTTTATCTTTTTATATTCTTATGTTATTTGTATCTTCTAGTTTTTATGCTCTTTTATCTTTCTCATATTCTTATGTTATTGTTATCTTATATTTATTTATCTTTTTTTATCCGTTTTATCTTACACCCCCCCCCTCCTTATCCGTCTCTCTGCTTGGCATCGATATCATAGATCGATTCAGTCTTAAGGCTTGGATGTTGTTGTTGTTGTAAGAATTATTTTGTTTATAGAAGTATAGAACCACGAGTATCTCAAGAAGATTTTGAGTTCATAATAATATTCTTTTTTTGCAAGGCGATATCCCACAAGGACATCAAATTAGTCATTTTCCAGAATCTGAGCGCTAATATGTAAAGCTCTGTTTCATCAGCAATTTCTTTGTATAAGACTGAACATAATATGCTAAGTTTGAATTTTAAAGAGTGGTGTGAGGCTGTGAGCTGTAAGTTCTCAATTGATTATATTGCACAAAATTACTTGAAAAACTTTGTTGATGGAGACATCCATTTTGCGGCTCGAGTAGCTCATTCCCCCCTCTTCCTGCGGTTCCAAGCAGAATGTTTCTTGCTTAAACATACTACAGTGAAATCCTTTGACCTTGCCATTTTGGTTAGGTGCGTTGGAAAGGCTTTGGATCAAGTGAAGATACATGGGAGCCCATTGATGGGTTAAAGTAAGTTTAAGCTTACATTACTTGCTAAGCATTTCAGTGTGGTTATAATTCCTACTTTTCCTATGGTTAAAATTGGAAACCACTCAATTTTCTAACTACATTTTTGCTTCTCTTCTATATAATGTTTAAGAAACATTGTGAATATCCCAAATCTTGAAAATCTGACATGCGATATTGATAAATATGTATCATAAGAAATTGGTACAAGTGATAGAAGATGGGCAATAATAAGCATTTCTTGATTTTCTTCTGTCATTTGTGGCTTTTAGGCTGCCTCTGCTTTATGATATTGAGTATTGGCTGTGAGCAAGAAATTGAGTATCGAGTGAATACAAATTGTAATTGATTAGAATGTTAAGATGGATGCTAATCACTAAATAATAGAGTGAAGAGGCAAGGGGAGAAATAATCAAGAATGAAGATGTTTATAAAGTTTAAAAAATGAAGAAAAATATGTATAGAAGAAGAAATAAAAGAATATGAAATACCCAAAGGTATTCTCTAGCAAGATAACTTGCGCAACAGCCTAAGGTTGCCCAACTATTATGAGTCCCAAATTCTACTTATCTATTGATATCCCCTTTTCTAACTAAAGCTCTTATTTATAGTCTAACACAATATGTAAATAAGGTAAATAATTGATCGATTAAAGAGATAGAGGAATGACATTCAAGACTCTGGTTTTAAGAATCAAGTTTTAATGATATTCAGGAATGATATTCAGTGACTCCCTGTATTTTGTCGATTTTCCTTCATTTCGTCTGCCTCTATCATTGTCGCCTGCTGCAAAATAGCCTTGTCTCCAAGGTTGGAAGTCAGATTCACCACAAATTATTCCTTCATTTCGTCTGCCTCTATCATTGTCGCCTGCTGCAAAATAGCCTCATCTACAAGGTTGGAAGTCAGATTCACCACAAATTATTGCGATTTCCATCATCTCAAATTGCTTGAAATGGGTTGCCTCATATTTGTGTTGGGAACAATACATAGCCAAATTTCATGGATATTCAGAATGTACGCCGATAGCTTGCTGTAGTCTTGCCCATATTCCTTCCGTCAACCTTTCTTTGGAATGTGAAGTTTGTTCTGGAGGCAGTGGACAAGGGGGTAGGTTCATATCTTGAGGATGGTGGTGGGGCGATAGCAATGGCACTGGATGTAATGATGGCAAAAGCGCCAATGTTGGTGTAGTGGAGGTGTCAACAACGGAACTCCAAAAACAATCTTTATTACTTCAGTATCAGCAAATTCTACATCTAAAGTGCAACATCTAAAATAGTCCTCTATAAGGAGATTTAGAAAAGAAAGGATGCTTAGGCTGATTCATACATCATTCCACAAACATGTATTTATACAATGATGTAGGGGATGTATAAGGTAACCTAGATAATGGTATTAAATAAATAGATTTATAGCTGAAGATTTTAATAAATAGTTGTAACTTATAATCTAGATTCTTCTATACTCTACAATAACTTCAGCAAAAAAGTAACTCCAACCTGTCTTATTCTGAGTATTACACAACTCAATATGTAAAATAAAAGTTACGTGTTTGGTAAAAAAGTTGGCCGATAAACTGAAAATGGGGGTTACCAACTGGCTCCTAGATGGAGACAGCTCGAGGACGGAAGTTTTTTGGGTTATATTGAAAATCGCATATATGCTCCCTCAATTATTCACGAAATTAAAATCTCAGACCTGTATTTTTGAGATTGTAAATGTCACCCCTCAATTGTCCAAAATGCTGTAAATGTGGTCCTTTTGAGGGGTGAAATATACAATGTGGGCGAGAGTACATTTCACTACTTAAAGGACCACATTTACAACATTTTAGACAATTGAGAGGTGACATTTACAATCTCAGAAATACAGGTCTGAGATTTTAATTTCGTGGATAAGTGAGGGACCATATATGCGATTTTCCCTTGATCTTTTCAACTGATTTCCTAGCCCAAAAAAGTGGCATGACTAAAAGTTGACAGCGGTAAGAGGCAATGGGAGAAATGATCAAATATTAATAAAGAAGATGATGTTTTATAATATCGAAAGGAAATAAAGAATAATACATGTAGAAGGAAGTAAATAACTTGAAACACCAGAAGGTAATTCTGATCACGAACTTGCCCAGCAGCCTAGTGCTGCTGAAATTTGAGTTCTGAGTTCTACTAACTCTTAATATCTCTTATTTCTAAAGGAAGCCAAATAAAAAGTTGATTGGAGACAGGGATGTACCAATCCTATTGGGGTTGTTATCAGAATTAAGCATATAATAGTAATGAGAATGAAAGAATTTTCTGTGTATATCATTGGAGGGATAAGTCCCTATATATATACATTACAAAGATAGAATATTCCTATAAGATGCTATACAATAATAATATCTTAGAGTATATTCCTAAAATATTCTAAAGCATATTCTAAAGATAGAAGAATATTCTAAAGCATATTATACAGCATATTCCAATGTCTTTCACACTCCCCCTCAAGTTGGAGCATAAATATTTATCATGCCCAACTTGTTACATAAATAACTAACACGAATTCCATTTAGTGCTTTAGTGAACAAGTCTCCAAGTTGCTCTCCCGTCTTCACATATCCTGTAGAGATCAATCCTTGTTGTATCTTTTCTCGAACAAAGTGACAATCGACCTCAATATGTTTTGTTCTCTCATGAAACACTGGGTTGTTGGCAATGTGTATAGCAGCCTGGTTATCACACCAGAGTTTAGCAGGCATTGGTGTCTTCAGTCCGATTTCACTCAATAGATGGTTTATCCAGATTATCTCACATGCCGATTGTGCCATAGCCCGATATTCTGATTCAGCACTCGAACGAGAAACCACATTCTGCTTCTTACTTTTTCAAGAGACGAGATTACCACCAACAAAGACGCAATAGCCAGATGTGGATCTTCTATCATCTTTAGATCCAGCCCAATCAGCATCTGCAAAGCATTCTATGCGCATGTGATTATGATTTTGATAAACAATACCTCGTCCTGGTGTCCCCTTCAAGTAACATAATATATGCTCTACAGCATTCCAATGATCAACTGTCGGAGATGACATATATTGACTTACTACACTCACTGAGTATGCAATATCTGGACGGGTAACTGCGAGATAATTAAGCTTTCCAACCAACCTTCTATATCTTTCTGGATCTTCGAAGGGTACGCCTTCATGAGTGAGCTGCACATTGGGAATCATGGGAGTATTGCTCGGTTTTGCCCCCAGTTTCCCTGTTTCAGTTAGCAAGTCAAGCACATATTTACGTTGAGATAGAAATATGCCTTTCTTGCTCCGTATAACCTCAATCCCCAAGAAGTATTTCAATGAGCCCAAATCTTTCGTCTGGAATTGACTATGAAGAAAATTCTTAAGAGCCAAAATACCTGCATTATCACTCCCTGTAATCACAATATCATCGACATACACCACAAGCAATGTGATACCTGCTTTTGTTCGTCTGTAAAATACAGAGTGATCTGATTTGCCCTTTATCATTCCAAATCGTTCAATTGATTGACCGAATTTCCCGAACCATGCACGGGGACTCTGTTTCAAACCATAAAGAGACTTGCGAAGTCGACACACTTTTCCATACTCCCCCTGAGCAACAAACCCTGGAGGTTGCTCAATATAAACTTCCTCTTGAAGATCACCGTGCAAGAATGCATTTTTAATGTCCAACTGATGTAAGTGCCAACCATTAGTTGCAGCAAGAGAAATAAGTAACCTGACAGATGTTAATTTAGCAACAGGAGAAAAAGTGTCAGAATAATCAACACCATAGGTTTGAGCATAACCCTTCGCTACTAATCGGGCTTTTAAACGAGCAACGGATCCGTCAGGGTTAACCTTTACAGCAAAGACCCACTTACATCCAATAGATTTCTTCCCTGTAGGCAAGTCTACCAAATCCCAAGTACCATTAAGATCCAAAACATTCATTTCCTCTACCATGGCATGACGCCATTCAGGATGAGACAAAGCGTCTTTAACAGATTTGGGAACAGAAATAGAATCAATGGAAGCAATAAAAGAACATGAGGTAGATGATAACTGATTATACGACACAAATGAAGAAATAGGATGAGTACAAGACCGTGTACCTTTGCGTAGTGCGATAGGGAGGTCAAGATCTGATGTAGAGGCAGGATCTGGAGATGCAAGTATTGGTTCAGGACATGAGATCGAGACCGGATCAGTATCAGGATAAGTAACCACAGGTGGAGGGTGATCTTGTACTTTGTTTCGACGGGTGTAGACCAAGTGTACCGGGGGCCTAGGCTCAGGAAAAGTAACATGTGGAACAACGGCTGAAGCAGTGGACTCGGGTATAGTGACTGTGTAAATGAGTATATCATCATTCTCCCTACAAATATTTGTCTCTGTTGATGAAAACGGTGTATTTTCATAAAAGGAGACATCAATTGAAACAAGATATCGACCCGTACTTGGACAAAAACATCCGTAACCCTTTTGAACTCGAGAGTAGCCTAAGAAAATGCACTTTAATGACTTGGGATCTAACTTTGTTAAATGGGGATTAACATCTCGTACAAAACAAGTGCAACCAAATATTTTAGGAGGGATAGGAAAATTTTCATTATTTGGAAATAGGCACTGATATGGAGTTTTACCATCCAAAACAGTAGATGGCATTCTATTGATCAAAAAACATGCGGTAGACACAGCATCTGCCCAAAACTGTTTAGGCACATTCATTTGGAATAGAAGAGCCCACGCAGTTTCTAATAGATGTCTGTTCTTTCGTTCAGCAACTCCATTTTGTGGAGGTGTGTCTACACATGAAGTTTGATGAATGATGCCATGTTGAGCCATATACGACTTAAATGAGGAAGACAAATATTCTTGAGCATTGTCTCCCCTTAAAATACGAACAGGTACATTAAATTGAGTTTTAATTTCAGCACAAAAGGCACAGAAATGAGAAAATAACTCAGAACGACGTTTCATGAAATATATCCAAGTCATACGAGAATAATCATCAACAAAGGTAACAAAATACTTAACACCAGTTTTGGACACAACAGGGCAAGCGCCCCAAACATCAGAATGAACAAGTTCAAAAGGAGCATGTGCTCGTTTATTGACTCGGGGACTTAAACTAGTTCGATGATGTTTTGCAAATTGACATGAATCACACTGTAAAGATGACACCTTATTAAATTGAGGATGAAGTTTCTTTAACAACGGGAGAGAGGGATGGCCTAGTCGATAATGAGCCTCTAACACAGTTCCAACTCCAAGACAAGAGATGGATTTGGGTAAGGATGTATCCAAGAGATAGAGACCAGCCGACTCATATCCTTTACCAATAACCCGATTCGTCACCAGATCCTGAAAAACACAATATCCAGGAAAAAAAGTTACAGAGCAATTAAGATTACGTGTGATTTTGCTGATCGAAATCAAATTAAAGGCAAAGTTTGGAAGACTTAGGACGGGTGACAAAGGTAAGGTAGATGTTGGGACAATTGTACCCGTTCCAAGAACTGGTGACGTAGATCCGTCAGCCAAAGTAACACTAGAAGTATGAAGAGGTGTGTGGAATGAGGAAAAAAGACTAGGATTACCTGTCATATGATCTGTTGCCCCTGAATCGATAACCCATTTTGAGGATGAAGACACAAGACATGTGTTTGGATTACCTGAATTAGCGACAGCTGAGATAGGAGTAGATGAATGCTTTAGAGTCTCTTGGTAGCAAAGAAATTTGGCGTATTCCTCAGAAGACATACTTATTGATCCATCAGAAGACTGTGTAACGGAAGCAATGTGAGCAACCTGATTTCCTTGATTTTTGAATTTTAATTTTCTACAATCTTTGATCAAGTGTCCAGGCTTTTTACAATAGTTGCATACTATGCCTTTGCCAGATGGACCAGTACGTGGATATTTCTCACCTCCTCTGGTGAATGTCGGAACTTGCCCTACAAATGCATTGCTTGACTGAGGTGCTAATGGTGTGGATGAAGTATCGGTGCGAAGCACTCTAGTGAAAGACTCTTGAAGAGAAGAGACCTCATCACTAGATAAGATATGTGATTTGGCTGTTTCAAATTCAGATGTTAGACCAGCCAAAAAACTCATCACTGCCATTTGTTCTCTTTGTTTCTGCTGCACTTTGATATCAGGACTAAATGGCATTAATGTATTCAGCTCTTCATAGGTTTTCTTGAAATCCATAAAATAAGCCGTGAGAGGTTTATCTTTCATTTCTGCTCTGTAAAAGGCTTTGCACACCTCATAGATGTGGTTAAGATTACCTTTTTCAGAATACATAAATTCCAAATAATCAAACAATTCTTTCACAGTATCGCAATGACTAACGTACCCCATTACCTCATTCTCCATTGAGTTTTGAATCTGGATAAATAATCTAGAATCGTCACGAAGCCAGGCAGTATTAGCAGCTCTATCAACCTCCTCCTTTGGCGGGTCATCAAGTAAGTGGGTATATTTATCAATGCTCCTTAAATAACGTTTGATAGTTTTACTCCATTCAAGATAATTGGAGCCACAAAGTTTATTCTCAGTAATTTTAAAATTAATGGGAATAACTTCAGAAACTATCAAAGGCTGACTTCGTGTTACTGCGGAGGTGTCAGTTTCAGAACCAGGCATTTTTCTTTTCTTTTCTTTTTTTTTTCTTTTTTTTTGAGACCGTAATAAAGTTTAAAATTGAGATATTTAATTTAATGAGAACTTACAGCAGCCCGTTTTGGGCTTGAGAACAAAAGATACAATCTGCTTGGGCTTTGACTGCTACTCCAGACATAAGTCAGATGCCAGACCCCAACGAATAATCAGCCACATGAAATAGTGTGCGTATGTCCACAAACTGAATGAGTAATTGTCGGAGTCGGAAATTCGCCGGGTAGATGGTCGGACCTGGCAGAGATTCTGAATAGAGAGGGCTAAAATAAATCTGTCCTGGGGTGAGTTTCTGGGAGACAGAATGGTGCCTAGAGGTTCTGAAGAATCTGAACTGAACTCAGGTTTCTTTGAGGAAGAACCCAGTATGAAAAACTAAGCTAAAATCTAAAAGAAAAGGAACTAAACTGAAATGAAGTCTCTGATACCATGTTATCAAAATTAAGCATATAATAGTAATGAGAATGGAAGAATTTTCTGTGTATATCATTGGAGGGATAAGTCCCTATATATATACATTACAAAGATAGAATATTCCTATAAGATGCTATACAATAATAATATCTTAGAGTATATTCCTAAAATATTCTAAAGCATATTCTAAAGATAGAAGAATATTCTAAAGCATATTATACAGCATATTCCAATGTCTTTCACAGGGGTAAGGGGGCCTTGGTCCCCCAACTTGTTTATTTTTTAGTAGTACTAGTATTAGATGTTACTGTTTCCATCACTTGGAGCCAAAGATTCATTATTTGTTGGCTTGAGAATATGATGGAATAAAGCAAAATGGCTCACCAAACTGTGTGCTCTTTTTTGTTATGAAGCAACAGTCAGTCCATGCAATTTTGGACGCGATTTTCATTATGGGTCATCCGAAAACAGTCTCTCTGTGCTTTAATACAGGGGTAAGACTGCGTACATCCGACCCCCCCTACCCCACTTAGGTGGGAGCCTTTGCGGCACTGGGGTAAATGATGATTGATATATATTGATTGATACTAGTATTAGATGTTACTCCTTCATATGTGAAGGAATGTCTAGTTTATCTGCCTACATATTCGTATGCTCTTTGCTTTATCTGCTGAGTTTGTCCTAGTTTGTATGCTCTTTGGTTCTTTTAATTCTTATTTGAAGGGTTTTCCAGTTTTTCTTTTTATTTGTAATTTTTTAGTACTTAGGTATTTAATTATGTATGGGCAGTTATATGTCAATATACTTGCATTATAGACTTTATTAAAATATTATATAAAATTAAAGTGACACATAGTATTATTATGATTGATTGATATATAATTATAAATTTATTACTTTACTCGTTTTTGAGTAGATTAAAAAAATTCAATCTACAAGGCTTTGTTTCGAGTTCAGAATATATTAGGGAAAATAATAATATGGAACTATAAATGTGCGGGGAGATTTTTTGGATGGAATCCAATAAATTGACTTTGACATAGGATAAAATTAATTTTATACGTCTATTTGTATAATTATATTTCAAAAATAGGACTAAATATGTTTATTCCTCAAATAGAACTTAAAAGAATAAGGTTATTAAAATTTTCTAAATATAAAAACAAAAAAAAATTCTAAATATTGTCGTATCATATTGTCAAGCTTATATATGGAAACATTGGACCTAAAACCGGTACAACTAGGATACCTGAACTTAACCTAACCGGAATAGGAAGTTATAATACTGCTAAAACTATCATAATACATAACAATTTCTAAAATTTAACTAAGGAACAAATATACACTTGAACAATATGCTCCTCGACTAAGGCCGTGCTATGATCCTTTTGTGAAGAATGGATCAGAGCCGCTTCAGATCTCAGAAGGCAGCATTGCTATGCTTATATAGAGAAACATTGGACCTAAACCCTGTAGAAATATTTGAAAGCTAAACATAGATACCAAACGAAATAGGAAACTACACCACTACTAAAACTATGATAATTACTCTGTCTCGAAAAGGTAAGGTACATTTGAGTTTAACACAATTATTAAGACAATAAAGACGATATTTGTAATTTTACAATTGAAACCTTCTGAATGGAAGGAAATTTAGTAGTCCACAAGAAACAAAAAGTAAAATGATCAAATAAATGCATAAAATGGGAAAGTAAATAGTCAGTGGCTTTCCAATTAGAGAAGTGATCAAAATTTTGGTTACAGAAAAATACGAATCCAACAAAATGGGACCGAGAGACCGTATTACTATTTCTATCTTTTAACAGTATTAATTTAATTTTTATATAATCTCAAGTCTATGTCAAGATATATACATAGCACTCCAGAATGCCTCCCCTTCAAAACCCACCAAATAGCTCCATCCAAACTGACCTTGGAAGACCTCAAGCTGCTTGAAGTTGTTAAATTTGAATCTTTAAATGTTTATTAATGGGGTTGTGCTTGATATAAGTTACTATTTATCCCTGTCTCAGAAATTCAAAGGAGAGCATTGATGATTTTGTGAGAAGGGGGAAAATATCAAAAATACTACCTCTTCCGGTAAATGTCCTCTTTTAATCATGTAGCATCAACGTCAGTTGCCAGCACTGCAGTAAAGTGATTGGTTGTGTCTAATTCTGCACTGCTATTCAATGATATCTGTCAGGGTGATGTTGATGTGATATGTGGGGGGCCTCCTTGTCAAGGTATTAGTGGCTATAATCGCCACAGAAATGTCAATGCCCCATTGGAAGATGAAAGAAACCGCCAAATCATTATATTTATGGATGTTGTTGAATTCTTAAAGCCTAAGTATGTCTTGATGGAAAATGTTATTGACATATTAAGGTTTGATAATGGTTCACTTGGACGATATGCTTTAAGTCGTTTGGTGCGTATGAGATACCAAACAAGACTTGGCATTCTTGCAGCTGGTTGTTATGGTCTTCCACAATTTCGTTTACGTGCTTTCATATTGGGGGCACTTCATACTGAGGTCAGTGTCTCTCATGAATACATCAAGGATATGGTCTGTTAAACCCATGAACCAATGTATCGAGTGATTGATGTGATGATTTCTACATACATTTGAGCTTAAGGTGTATTTACTTGGAAAATAATAAAAAGATTATTGTAATTGTGATGGATAATTTGAAGTGAAAGATAGTTCTGTAGCTGAGTTAAGGAATCTCTAATTCTTGTTCTTGTCTCCAGAAATTGCCTCCATTTCCCCTCCCTACACATGATGTTATTTTCAGATACGGGTATCCATCTGAATTTGAGGTATTCTTTCTTATGTTCTAGCGTTAATGTCACACAATATAACTTTTAATGATGATTTATTCTCTTCCCATGATTCCTACTTTTTGTAGTTTATATGCCAGTTTGACACCTTAAAGTTTTTTCTTCCCATGACTCGATGCAGCGCAATGTTGTTGCTTATGATGAAGGACAACCTCGTGAACTTGAGGAAGCCCTTGTTCTTCAGGATGCTATATCTGATCTTCCAGCTGTATAACCTCGATTTTGACTTTAAAGTTCACTTCTATAACTCCGGTGATGTGTATCCTCACCTATGGCTGTCTTTTAGGTTACAAGTCGTGAAATTCGTGAAGAAATGCCATATTGTATGCCCCCGGAGTCCGATTTCCAGAAATATATTAGATTACCCAAACATGGTATATTCTTACTTTTATGGATTGTTTTTATGTTGTGACTTATATTGGCATGCATACTGTCTGTTAGTGTACACAAATGATTTCCCGTGTTTGTGTCATTTCATTGTGGCCGACTCCTACTATTCTGTTCTCCATAGAACTTTGAAATTTGTATGAACAGTTTCATACTTTCAGTATTAGTTTTCAGAATGATATACTGCCTCCTTCCCATATAAAGATTCTTGTTTAAGCAATGTTCAACACTTCAACTTTTCATTTCAGTAAAGTTCAACTATCATGTAATGATGAAATCATACTTGTTGATAGTATTGATATATAGGGTTAATAGATAGGCTCATCATAGTCTCTCTTACACTCTTTTATACTCATGCGCATCTTTCTACATTGAATAATAAACAGAATATACTGTTCAAGATAGCATCTAGAGCCTACATAATATCTTTCTGTTTTCCCTTTCTGGCCACCTCAGCCGCCGCCATGTGCCAGCCTGTCTGGCCGCCGTTCAGGATGGTATAAACCTCATGCTCTCGTTTGTCCTTAATTATGCAGTACCACTGATGAAAACAGAAAATAAAATAATCAACGATTAGCAACCGTTGCCCAAGCTTAAAGCTAAAACTCCAATATTATTAATTGATGATTCCAACAGCCCTCCTTGGGGGTTTAAATAACCCTCTAAGTCTTAATAAGAATAGGAATCCTAATTAAACCATACTAGGAAACAAAAGAGAATAGGAAACCTCTAATTCTAATAAAAATAGAAATCCTAATTAAATCATTCTAGAAAACTAAATAGAAAAAGGAAACCTCTAATTCTAATAAGAAGAGAAGTCCTAACTAAATTATACTAGGAAACAAAATAAATTAGGAAACAAAATAAAAGGAATAATTAAAACTAATTAAATGGCCCGCAGCCAGCCCACAAGGGTGGGCTCAAGCCTGTCCCTGCCCCCTGCTCTCTATCAATCCATCGTCCTTCAAAATAACCTTGTCCTCAAGGTTGAAATCTCACAGATCGAGGGCTGAAATCTCCTTCCGTACCCCCTTGGCCTTTCTGAACCTTTTCCTGGTCGGTTATTTCACAATACTCATGTTGTTGGAGGTCCAACTCCTCATCTTCCTCAGCAATCATTACCTGCAACTGCTTAAAGGGGCAATCATGCCCTGGTGCAAATGGTTTCTTACACCTAAAGCATAACCCTTTTGCCCGCAATTCTGCTAACTCTTTCGGCGGAAGTCGAGTGAATTGAGAGTGTGCCGGAGACTGCCCGAACAGCCCTGAATTTGTCCCCGAGGGCTGCCCACTATCTTTCGGGAAGCTGCCATTCGATCCCTGTATGCTACCACCACTGGCAATCAACGGAGGACTCGTGTTTGGTAAAGCTTAAGAATAGGAATCCTAATTAAACCATACTAGTAAACTAAATAGAATAGGAAACCTCTAATTCTAATAAGAATAGAAGTCTTAATTAAACCATTCTAGGAAACTAAATAGAAATAGGAAACCTCTAATTCTAATAAGAATAGAAGTCCTAATTAAGTCATACTAGGAAACAAAATAAATTAGGAAACAAAATAAAAAGAATATTTAAAATTAATTAAATGGCCCGCATCCAGCCCACGAAGGTGGGCTCAAGCCCGTCCCCGCCCCTGCTCTCTATCAACCACACTCTTTTCTTTACCCCCATGCACCTCCTCACCCACTCCAACTCGTGTGTTGAGATCAACATGCTATGCTCACAATCTCTCAGCCGGTCCTGACAAGGTTTTTGTTTGATGCCTTGATCCCGCAAATGTGTCTTTCTTGGCTATTGCTGGTCCCAAAAAGGTTATCATTTTTATTCACCTACTCTTCAGCGTTACCTTATCTCGGCCAATGCATACTTTTAGACTCTGTTCAATACTTTTGGTCACCAACATCCTTTCCTGCACCGTCCGTTGTATCGTTGGCCTCCTCATCAACTTGGTTTAAAAAGGGTTTTAACCTGAATATTACTAAAAAGTGGATAATGGACAAAAAAGTAACCCTTTTTCTGAATTTCCAAAAATGTGACTAATAAGCATTAAGCTTACTAAATTACCCCTAGTTTTCAGTGACATTATTGTATAGTGACATGACTTGCCATAGTGACCACCCTAATCGGTGACCTGTCCGCCTCCAGCCAGAGTGACACAGTGACTCCGGCCAAGTGACATCGGAGACAGTGACACGGCCATAGTGACTCCATCCAGTTACCTCACCACCTCGACTCCAGCCACCGCCTCCACCCAAGCTCTGGCCACCGCCACTCCCTGCACCACCAACCCGTCACGGCCCCTACCTGTTACCCCCCATCCGTGTCACTGCCCAACCAGCCCCAATGGCCCCCCCACCCCCCACCAATCCCGCGACCCCACATGCCCTACTGCGGCCACACCAATCCAATCCCATCCCTAGACCAACTCCTTGCCATCCGCCACTCCTCCCTGCCCCACCCTAGCGCAACTAGCTCCACAGAACAACAGTCACAGATCTGCTCTCAAATTCAACAAAGCACGTCGCCGGATGGATGAAGTTTCTCACCAGATTTACAAAGCTCGCACCGCCACTGGATGAAGTTTCTCGCCGGATCTACGAAGCTTGCCGCCGCGACTGGAGGATGAAGCTTTCACCTGATCTATGAAGTTTGTCACCACCACTGAAGGAGTTGGTGCGTCTTGGAGAAGGTGAAGCTCGAGAAGCTTTAATAAAAAAAAACTATTTGTAGAAATCCCTCTTCCTAGTTTCGGTAAAGTAGCTCCGGGATGGGGAACAACGCCTTTCATGGGTTTGGTTTAAGTTCGATCCATATATTTTCTGATTGGCAACTGATTCCTATACTTTGAAAAAGTAAAATACATGAATCCAATTTTCATTTCATCCGGGAAAAGCGAATTCCTCGAAAACCCCCTCCCACATCACCATTCGGTATTTTAGAGTCTACAGAGGAAAAAAAACCCGTTAGAAGAGAGAGGAAATGATGATAGAGCGAGTAATGGTGGTTTGCGGACAAGAAGGAGAAGGAGAGGAGTTGCAGTGGAAGGTGTAGCCGCTGTCGCTCTTTGTAGCCGCTGCCCTCGCTTGAAGAGTCGATGCAGACGAAAGAGGTTTGATCGCCATCTTCGTTACAAAATCTGGTCGCCGTGTTCGTTGGATGAGATGGCCTGAGCGAATACATCTAGAGATTATAATAGGGATTTGGAGTAGGGGTAATTGAGATACTATACCCCTCTTTTAGTCATTTTTTTGTCTAAATGTAATGTGCTCACATTTTTGTCCGCAGAAAGCTTCACAGTCAGCTTTTAGTCATTCTTTCTTTAAAAAAAGGCTTCCTGCGTGGAGATCTCGAAGAAGTATATATGATTCAACCACATGGGTTTGTTGCTAAGGGGGAGTCCACTATGGTTTGCAAACTTTGCAGGTCTCTTTATGGTATTCCACAAGCTTGGCTTGGCAGATTCAGCGCTGCAGTAAAACAGTTGGGTATGACTCGAAGTAATAATGACCACTCAGTTTTCTATCACCACTCAGCTCAAGGATGTATTTACTTGATCATGCATGTGAATGATATTGTAGTAACTGGAAGTGACCAACATGGCATAGTCTAGTTATAGCAACATCTCTCATATCAGTTTCAAACTAATGACCTTAGCAGTCCGTTACTTCTTGGGTATTAAGGTGGCTCATTCCCAGGATGGTCTAGTGATCTCACAAAGGAAATAGACCTTGGATATCTCGAGGAAATAGGCGTACTGAAAGCCGAAGCAGCTGATACCCCTATGGGTTCGAATGCTAAGCTCCTACCTAATCAGGGGGCCACTTTCAGATTCAGGAAGATGTGATGGGAAGTAAAACTAACCCACCATCACTCGCCCATATAGTTCATTTCAGTGTGTGGTAAATCAATTTTTAAACTCTCCTTTTCAGGATCATTGAATACAATAATGTGAATTTTGATGCATGTTAAAGGTGACCTGGGAAAAAGTGTTATTTATGTAAGGGAGGACATACTCAGATAGTTGGCTATTCAAATGCTGATTAGGCAGGCTCACCCATTGATAGGCGCTCCAATACTGGTTATTGTGTATTGGTAGGAAAGAAACTTGATATCTTGGAAGAGTAATAAACAAAAAGTAGTTGCATAACCAAGTGCTTAAGCTAAATATAGGGCATTGGGATTACTGACTCAAGAACTCTTTTGGCTGAAATACTTGCGCAAAGAACTTCAGATTGGAGAGGCAAGAAGATGACTCTAATATGTGACAACCAAGCAGCATTGCACATAGTTTCTAATCCTGTGTTTCATGAGAGGATTAAACATATTGAGGTTGACATTCATTTTGTTGGGAAAAAGATTGATCAAGAGATATCATCACTAATTTTTTCAACTCCAATAATCAATTAGTGGATTTTTTTTCACTAAATCTCCAAGAGCTCCTCAAATTAGTTTTATGTAACAAGCTTCATCATGCATATGATTTATACGCCTAAGCTTGAGAGGGAGTGTTGATAGTGGTGATATTAAGGGTTAATAGACAGGACCATGTATTTAGGTCCATAATCTGTGTTACACTCTTATATACTCATGTACATCTTTCTACATTAAATAATAATCAGAATATACTATTCAAGACTTATATTATTAGTCTTTTGTTGCGTCAACTAAACTCAGTACTCCCCGTCTCAACTTCAACATTTTTTCCTCCCCCCGTTAAACAAGGAGTTTATTGGAAGGAGTATATGTAACTTGCGTGTTACTCTTTTTAATATTCTGTTGGCAAATTTCACGAAAAGTTAGCTTCTTTCGATCAAAGTGAACCCTTTAGGGACAAAACAATGTTTGAAACATGACTCCTTTTTCAGATAGATTGATGAAAGGAGTAGTTCTGCTGAGTTAACAAAAGATACTCATGGAATGTTTAGTTTATAATATTTGATTTGAAGATTTTAAATGCATGTTTAGTTTATACTTTTCCTTCATCATAAAAAATACAAGTAAATGTTGCCAATGGCTTCAAAATTCCATTGGACTCAACTAGTGGGACTGGGTCGACTCAACATAGTCGTTATATACCCCAAGGTATTTTGACAAGTGCAAGTAAGCCTATATGGCTATGTACTAGGGTGCATATCTATGCACACTCTCTTTCCTTCTAGAACTTGTTGCTCTGGTCCACAAGGTAGGCAGTGTTAATGTTTCACTTTGGATTTTATTTCAGAGATAATGGGTAGTACTCCATCTTCTGAAGTTAGAAAAATGAAAGATCACATCTTATATGACCATCGACCTCTTCTACTGTCTGAAGATAATATCACGCGAGTTTCTCTAATCTCTCACAGAAAGGTATGATTGTTTATATGGTGTTATTTTATATCACTGGCTCTCATAATTTTATATAGTTCCTAATATGTTGTGACACCAGGGAGCAAATTTCTTGGATTTTCCTGGAGTCATTCTTGTGAATAATACTGCTACTCGTGATCCGAATAAAGAACCAGTATTACTACCATCAGGAAGGCAACTTGTGAGCGCTCTATCTTTGCTACTGTTTTTATTTCTTCACTCTGAAACAAATTGATTCCACTTTTTGTCCTATGAGTTTGATGTCAAAAATTTCACATTTAGTCCACGTCTTTCATTTTTTTACTTTTGGTACTTGACTAATGTTTCTTGACCATTTGTGGTCCTTTCCCAGCAATTTTAATAATAAAAAAGATTGACGGAAGGATCAAATATGGGCGAAAAACAAAAGTCAAGTACAAAAAGTGGACAAAATGAAAGACGTTGATTAAATGTGGAATTGACGTAGAACTCATAGGACCAAAAGTGGAATTTATTCCTCTTAAATTGTAGCTTGAATTGAAGTTACTGAGACATTTGAAAAAGTGACAATTTCTACCTATTGATCCTTCATTTCCAAGGGCGAATATAAGGATATCATATCCTTGCATATTGGAACACTCTATTGAGAAGGTTTCTATTTGCCAACAAGGAGTATGGGACAAAACATTGATGCAAATGAGACTTACTGTTCAAAGCTAGTATGTAATGTTACATGAATGTTAGATATGCTCCAATCTGACGGAAATTTTACGTAAATTGAAGAAGAAGGTGGTGAACGAAAAAGAAAATACAAGCAGAGACACTTAGAGCAGTCTCACTCTCCCAATTCCCAATCTAAACCCAATTTCTGCCTAACTTCTTATTTCTCCCCTCCCTTCTATTTATACTACCCGTACAGCTGCTATTATTGTTATTATTATTAATTTCAGCCTATGTTCCTATCATGTCTCCCCCCTTAGACCACTACCTTGTCCTCAAGGTGGGTGATAGGAATCAGCCTTGATTTTCCACTTCATTTTCATTCTTGCGCCTCTCCCTCCCCAGCACATCACTGAGTTCTGGACCTTTAGCTTCAACACTTGAGCCATCCTCTTTACTTCCGCCACCGCAGAAATGAACAGGGGTAATGACACTATTGGATCATGCTCCCCTGCTTGGTCACTCATTATTCATTAAGATATCAATAAGCCTAAAGATAGAAGGATTCCCATTCTCTTGTGTGGATTGCCTACTAAAAGAGCTACCGGTACAAATTGCTTGTTGAATAGATTCACTATGAATGCTCAATACATCCCACAATTTTCTAGCAGTTGTGATTCTCTTATCAGTTTCGTGTTTTAAAGATAGATCCACGAGGTACCCTATCTGGGAGACATCAATTAGAGATCCTTCAGTAACATTGTTAGAAGATCTAGTGAAACAGCTACTAAACCTTCAGGCTGCTGTTGTGGTTTCATCAACACATGCCCAATATAAAGTAAAATTTCAGAACCCAAAGGCTGGATGCAACCAGGAGTTGTTTTCATTTCTTCTAAAACTTCTAGATCATTAATGCTGGCAAAATGGTCTGCCCTGGCAGCAGCCTGTAGTGTCTCAAGCATCCGATGCATTGTTTCATTAGATGTATGCTCAACTAGGTTAGTGAATGATGAAATTACGTTCTGGATATGTGGCCAAATAACTCCAGCATCTGCATCAGTATCAAGCTGTGAAAGTGCTTGACCAGCCCCTATTTTTACCAGAGTAGGGTCATCCACGCCCTTGGCCTAAACAGCCACATACCCAATCTGCTCATTAATTCCCCGGCTGATCACAGATGAAAACTGGGCAATGGGTGAAAATATACAAGCATCAAGAAAAGGATACTTATCAAACCCTGTTGCAATGTCTTCTATAAGAATTTTGTCCACAATATTTCCTTCAGAAGCCCCAAAACTTCCAGAACCCTCCGTTTAAATAGTTGCTCTGACACTGAAACCAAAGCAAAAAGGTTAGCTTCCCATACTCTCCACCAGCCTTGGAATCCAGCAGTCTTCTCTTGCTGTGAATCATTGAACCATTTTGCTGCAGATCCCACTATCACCTTTATTCCCTCCGTGTCACAACTCACAAGATTATATCACATCTTCCAGTAACAGTGCTCCAGAAGCTCACCAACTATGAGTAGTATTCTTCTCAACAGCAAGGAAATGGTTGGTATCCATCAACAATGTGTGGGTCTGCTGCTTTAACTCATTATAAGATCTTTTAGCCAGTGTGTTGAGTGTCATCAAGTACTCAGTGTTTGTAATCTCTTTTCTCTTCCAACTATCCCTAGAGATTTCAGCCCACATTTTGTGTACTCCGAGGATCTCAGGAATATCAGAATCTGAAACCATGGCTACAGAAATTGCAGCTGGGCCACTCTGTTCCAACCTAGAAAACATACCCTGTGCAATTTGGGTAAGACACCTTGGGCTTGATAATATCCTCTTGATGTGGGGTGTTGGTTTTACTATTTCCCCAGCATCATCTATGTCTGGGTGTATAGCCACCGTGCTTTGATACCATTGTTAGATACTCTCCAATCTGACGGAAATTTTACGTAAATTGAAGAAGAAACTGGTGAACGAAAAAGAAAATACAAGTCTATGAGCACCCAATTTCTTCTTAACTTCTTATTTCTCCCCTCTCTTCTATTTATACTACCCGTGCAGTTTCTATTACGTATTATTATTATTATTAACTTCAGCCTATGTTCCTATCAATGAATACTTGAAGCCTGGCATTGGCTTCAAGTCTGGTTGAGATGCAATAAATAAGACACGACAACAACATCCAAGCATTGGTCCCAAAAGAGCTTGAGGTCGGCTAACATAATCGACACATGAAATTGGACAAATGCACTGTTTGCTTAAGGTTGTGAAGGCATGGGTGAAATTTCAGTGCAAAGTACCCTGCCAAATGCACTTTGAAGAAAGAAGACCATGTCACTAGGTAGGAAGTGTGATTTGGCTGTTCCAAAGTCAAATGTTAGACTCATCAGAAAACACATGAATGCCATTTGCTCTCGTTGTTTTTGTTTCACTTTAAACAACATTATTGTATTGAGTTCTTCATTTATTTTCTTGAATGGATTGGAAGTTGGAACTATACATGGTAACACATCATTTGCAGCCTTATCGTTCTCCTCAGCGGCTCACCAGTCAAATGAGCCTATTTATCAATAGGTAACGTTTGATAGTCTTTTTCGAGTGGGGAGCTAATTTGAATTAGAAACTTACTCTCCAAATCTTAAAATTGACTGGAATAATTTGAGAAATACTGCGAGAAGCTCGTTGTTAACTAAACATGTTTATGTCTGAGTTTTCAAGCCTGGAGTAAAGCAATTATGAAGGCAATGGGGGGATTGGACTTGAGAAACCTAGAAACAAGTAGCACCGAAAGAAAGTACACGGAGAGTACACGCTCTGCCAAACTGGAACTGGCCAACTGGATTTCAGGTCTGTGAAGAGGCCTCACGTACCGGCACGTGTGGTCGAGACAATACCTTTTGGCAGCCCATGTGGCTCACATACTGAGTTAGGGTGTCGGACTTCAGGGGTAGAGTTGGAATCTGCGGGCGCACCTCCCGGGACCAGCAATAAGGCTAGGGGGTTCTGAATAGCATAAATCTAGTTGGCAGAGGTTCTGAATACAGCTGAAATCCTCATTCTGAAAAGATGGAAGAAAAGCTCCATAGCTCTGATACCATGTTGAAACGTTAGAAATAAGAGATTGAATATGTTCTGTTTTTTTATTTGAGAGTTAAGACCCTATACATAGTTGTTAGGAAATGATGTGCCTAAAATCATTATATACTAATTACATACTTCCTCTGACCTATTAAATTCTTCCCTGTTTGACTTGGATCGGAGTTTAAGAAAGTGGGAATAAAGTGAAATGTATGATTGTGGTTGAGTAAGAAAAAGGTAAGTGAATGTTAGCCACACAAAAGTTTCCAAAAAGGGAAATGGGAAGAATTTTTTGGGGCATCCCAAAATGGTAAGTGGGAAGAATTTTATGGGACGGAGGGAGTATATTCTACTGCTATATATGTACTATATATCTTACAGTATATTTCCAAGCCTGAAACATGTTTCTTATCTTACAATGAACCTTTTGCATTTGAATGAAGTGCTGTGTTTTCCAACTGTAGGTCCCGGATTGTATCTTCACTTTTCAGCAAGGGAAATCTAAGAGGTACAACCGTACAACTATGTAAAGTTTCTATTTTCTTTATGATTTTTCTTTATAAAGCGTTCTATTGAAGTTCCTCATTCTCAGGCCATTTGCAAGATTATGGTGGGATGAGACAGTGTCAACCCTCGTGACATTCCCCAATATCTTCAGCAATGTGCGTTCTTTTTCTGCCTTATGGAAAATTGTGCATGTGTGGAATTGAGGCTAAATTATATTTAAAGAAATTGCCCTAAATAGGAGTAAAAACGTTTTAGAATTTGAAAATAGGAGCACTATGTTTTATTTCCTAGATAGGAGTAATTATATTTAGAAAATACTGCCAATGATGACAATATACTGCCATATTTAAAGTCTGGTAATGCTAAAATGTGGCAGTAAAATTTCAGAATGACAATAAGTTACTCTTATTTAGGGCGAAATAAAATACTCATATTCAGAAATTTCGCCTTGTTTTTACTCCTATTTTGGACTATTTCAGAATTTTTCCCTTATATTTTCCTTTTTTTGGGGGGGGGGGGGGGGGGGGAGGGATGGGTGCCATCAAGTTGGCTTTCATAATTATCGTTCTATATCTTGCGGTTTTCATAACCTTTTGTAAATGTGTTGAATTCATGTAGGCCATTTTACATCCTGACCAGGACCGAGTTCTCACTATACGTGAGTGTGCAAGACTGCAAGGGTTTCCTGATTTCTATAGATTTTGTGGTACTGTTCCCGATAGGTATTCCACGTGCGCCATGAACTGAAACATTACTCGATTCTAACTTTTACAATTGGTGAATGACCCTATGTTTTTTAGGGAAATAACTATTACAAAAATGAACAAAATGTTAGGAAGAAATGCCTCTTTAGTCCTATAACATATTAATGTGCGCAAAATGGTTTTAGATAGGACCAAGTTTTTAATTTTCCAGAAAAACTAGTTCCTACATTCTATTTTATTTTACTTATTACATGGATAATGAAGCTTTATTTATTTGCAGTGTATAATTCAATTTTTTTCAATTTAGTACTATCTATACATAAAATTTATGTATTTAAAAACTATAATTTTTTTATTAAATACAAAAGATGATATGATTAACTCTGATGTTGTATGTAGGTTCATGCTACCTGATCTTAAACTCTTGGGGTTAAGGCTTGATGCTGTTTTTGTTGTACAAAAAATGATGAAATTCACAAACATTGTTAAAAAAAAGAACAAAATCAGTGCAAGTCAAACAAAACCTTGTTTGAAAGCTTGTTATCACATTTTTTATTCTTGAAAGCTCAAGTGTTTTATCATCCATAGCTATTATAGAATCCTCTCCCTACATAGTAACACTCCTAGAACAACATATATTATGTGGCAAAATTTCATCATGTGCTACGCAGGTACTGCCAAGTTGGAAATGCTGTTGCCGTTCCTGTTGGGCGTGCCCTTGGATATGCACTTGGAATTGCTTTCCAGAGGTTATGTGGCGATGAACCACTGATCAAACTACCACCAAACTTCACATTCTTACAGCCCTCGATTGACAAAATAGAGAAATAAAATACATTCTTTGATTGCTAGAGATAGTCTTGATCAGTTAGTTGAGAATCATGATCATATTTGTATTGCCCTCTGGGGTAGTCCAGTAGTCGGAGGTGAAAATGGTTTGTGCGGCATCCTGTGTTCGAATTCTTGGTAGAGCATGTACCTACAAGCTACAGACTAATGTGGGAAGATGATTGTATAAAATAGAGCTGCTGCTACCCAAAGACCATATTGATATCAACCTCAAATTTACCTGCATGGGTAGGACAGGTAAACGGAGTCCAAGATTAGTCTGACAAGGCCAAAACCTTAATTAAAAAATGAACATGTCTGTATTTGTTATTGTACTATTAGAAACCCTGTATTTGGTGTATTGTGCTTTAGTGTATGAGGTCTGTATTTTTCCCATTCTTTTCCTGTATTTAGGCACATTGTAAAAGTTTATTCATAGATTTATTTATAAAAATATCATAAAGAACATCTTTGGTTGGTTAATGGTAGGTAGTAGTTCTTCAAACGCTGACCTAAAAGTGTAAACAACTAAACACTGTATTAGGAACTTGTTTTAGTTTGTTTGTTTGTGATAACATGTCAGTTTTTGTGTGTTTGCACATACAGATATATGAGACCTTCTCAACCAACTCTATAGGAAGTATAGTGAATATATATAATGAAATGTTAATAGTATACAATATATACCTATACTACTATGAGATGAGTAGTATAATTATATTTAAATACTTTAATTAGTATACTTGATTTTGATATATACGTAGTATATTTCATTATATGTCAAGCCTAATGTTAATAACTTAATATATATATTTTAATTCATCCTTGACTCTCTCTTCAATCATTTTCTTTTTGCATCAATATTAAATGCTTATGGTATTTCGACAACATTATATGGATTATGGAATGTGAAATAAAATGTAGGAGTACAGGTTGGACCTAGTCTTGGACCCGGTTTGGACCACCCGGCCCGTGGACCGGCCCGTCCTGGCCCGCTACTGTGCGGGCCCGGAACCGGCCCGGTTCTCGGGTCCGGGTCCGGTTCAGTGCCCGAACCGGGGGGTCCGGGCTCAGTGCTTGGTTTTGGCGACCCGGCCGGGTCGGGCCCGGGCCCGAGCCTATCGGCCTTATTTTTTATAAAAAAAGAATTACTTTAAATTCTAAAGAGCCGTTTGGCTCATTGACCCACATCCCAAATGGCTATATAGCCGTTGGGCGGGTACCAGCCACCAGCGGGGTCCGGGGCTTTTGGGGGGTGGGGGTTAAAAAAAACCTATAAATACTCCTAATTTTAAATATTTTTCACACCTCTTCTCCAACTCTCCCTAAATCCTACTGTCTACTCTCACTCATCTCCATATTCATCTTCTCAAATTCTCTTATTCTCCATTATATTTTATTTTACTATTTAATACTTATACAATTATTATATCTACTTATATATTAATTATCTACTTAAATACATATACTATATTACTTATATTTCTTATCTACTTAATCTCTACTTATTATCTACTTATATAGTTATATCTACTTATTACATACATACTACATCTACTTAATATATACTTTATATATTAAAGTATGAAATATACTTTATAAACTATTACTATATACTTAATACTACGTACATAATATTATCTACTTATATTCTTATTCTCCAATCTCCATTATGTTTTACTATTTAATTCTTATACAATTATTATATCTACTTATATATTAATTATCTACTTATAAATACATATACTATATGACTTATATTTCTTATCTACTTAATCTCTACTTATTATCTACTTATATCTATTTAATACATACATTCCACATCTACTTAATATATGCTTTATATATTAAAGTATTAAATATAAGTGTATTACTCATCTTATAGTAGTATACTTATATATTATATACTATAAACAATATATTATATATTAGTTACACTTTAATTAATATTAGTTAAAATCATTCTATTACTCATTTACTCCCATTAAGTAGTATACTGTATATACATTCATACATTTGTCTTATTACTTACATTTTGTATTAACATTACTTGATTAGTTAATTAATATTCTCACTAATTGTTACATTTTTCTTTAAACTAGTTAATTACTTAATTAGTATTCCCATTAATTGCTAAAACAACTCTACTTTAAAAAACTAGTTAATTGTCATTATAGTTAAAGTCACTTTATAATAGTTTGAATTTATATTTAAACGAAAAAAGAGTAGTTCAATAATTTTATTAAAGTACTTAACATTTTATTAAAGTAGTTTTCGAAAAAATTCCACTTTTGGTCCCGTGACTATGATGTCACTTCCACATTACTCCCTTCACCACATCTAGTCCATGACCTTTTCCCCTTCACCACCCGTCGTCCTTCCGACCACAACTCCGGCAAATTTTAACCGGAAACCAATTAATGAAGGTTAGTTGCGTCATTTAATAGCATTTATAGCTTTTCTTATCAAAAAAATCCACTTTTGGTCCCATGACTATTATGTCACTTCCACATTACTCCCTTGACTTTCAATTTAACCAAATCTAGTCCGTGAACTTTTCCCCTTCACCACCTGTCGTCCTTCCGACCACAACTCCGGCAAATTTTAACCGGAAACTCATTTATGTAGAAATATTGGGGACATTTTAGTAATTGTATGTTATTAAAACGGCTACCTACAAAATTAACTTCAATTAATGTTGAGTTAATACGCCGGCTTCCTTCTTTCTCAAAACCGAAGTCTTCTCCAATTTCCCAAACTTCCGTCAGCCTGAAAATCCCCAAACATCATTCGAACAATGAGGACCCGTCCGGACCGTCGGAGTGAAAGAGAAGGAACAAGTTCTGAACGACGTTCTCCAACATATGCTGGTGATAAAGGTAAGAGGTTGAACTTTTTAAAAAAAGAGTGGAAGAAAGTAATGAATACAAGGCTGAAATGAGGTGTATATAATTGGTGTTTGCACATGTTACGTTCTTCCACTCTTTTTAAAAAAACCTCTTTTTCAGCCTCAACATAAAACCCCTAATATGGGCAAACACCAATTATATACACCTCATTTTTGCCTTGTATTCATTACTTTCTTCCACTCTTTTTAAAAAAAGTTCAGCCTCTTACCTTTATCACCAGCATTTGTTGGCGAACGTCGCACTTGTCCCTTCTCCTTCACTGCGACGGTCCGGACGGGTCCTCATTGTTCGAACGATGGTTGGGGATTTTCCAGGCTGACGGAAGTTTGAGAAATTGGAGAAGACTTCGATTTTGAGAATGAAGGAAGCCGGCGTATTAACACAACATTAATTGAAGTTAATTTTGTAGGTAGCCGTTTTAACAACATGCAATTACTAAAATGCCCCCAATATTTCTACATAAATGAGTTTCCGGTTAAAAATTGCCGAAGTTGTGGTCGGAAGGACGACAGGTGGTGAAGGGGAAAAGGTCACGGACTAGGTTTGATTAAATTGAAAGTCAAGGGAGTAATGTGGAAGTGACATAATAGTCATGAGATCAAAAGTGGAATTTTTTCTATAAGAAAACCTATAAATGCTATTAAATGACGCAACTAACCTTCATTAATTGGTTTCCGGTTAAAATTTTCCGGAGTTGTGGTCGGAAGGACGACGAGTGGTGAAGGGGAAAAGGTCACGGACTAGATTTGGTTAAATTGAAAGTCAAGGGAGTAATGTGGAAGTGGCATAATAGTCGTGGAACCAAAAGTGAAAATTTTTCAGTAGTTTTCACTAAATTAAAGTACTTGAAAAGTTGTTATAATTTAATTACTCACATTTTAGTTAAAGTCACACTTGTTAGTTTTAAAAGAGTAATGGAAGAATGAGAATTGATATTCATACGATGTACACTTGTGCGCAGGGGCGTATCTAGCATGGGGGCAGGGGGGGCAGCTGCCCCCACTCAACCCCCACCTTACCCCATTATATATATATATCTCAAATTTTGTTTGTGTAGTATTATGTATAGTATAATACCGCTTAAAGTCCGAATTTGACGAATCTGATGTAGTAGCCAGCTGGTTCGCGTGCTTTCTGCTTTGCCTGGCATCGGATGTTCGAATCCTCTAAGTGGCCACTACTTCGTTCTTTTGATTTTTTTGCTCTTTTTACAACTGTTTTTTTTTTCAACTTACAACTGTTTAAAATTTGTCCAAATTAAATGATACGTAGAACTAAGTAGTAGTTTTAATAACATCTCTTCACACTTGATATAAAAGCTTGTTTAATTGTAACTTACATCACTTATAATTACATATTTTATGCATTTCATATATATATATATATATATATATATATATATATATATATATATGATTTTATACTTAATAAACTATAGAATGTCTAAAAGATCCAAATTAGTTCAAAATAATCTATTTTAATGGAATTTCAATCACATCTTTTCACACTTAGTATTAAAACACACTTGTTTTTTGTAACTTAAATTAGTTATAAATTTATAATTAAATATTTCATCCGTTTCTTATAATTTTTTTAATAAACTGTGGATTATATTTTTATTAATAATTCTTACCTAAAAAATTTGTAATAACATTAGTGTAAATTTGCCCCCACTCGACGAAATTTCTGGATACGCCACTGCTTGTGCGTGTATAAATATAGTACATGGCTGCATGGAGATAAAGTTTACTAACTATATTACCTAGAAACAATGGCAAAAATAAGATTACCAGCTTTTAGATGGACAAGAAAAGGACTGACTTTCGTTAGAGACATAAAAGAGATTAGAATAATGTTAAAATTCTAAAACACCCCTGCTGGACTAATTCCCGTGTTCAACATTCGCAACCTAGAAGCAGATCTGCGTAAGAGGCCAGCGACCATCCGGTGCCCATCGTTGCTCACTTTACCCGCTCTCCCTTCGGCTTCCACTGCCATCGCTCACCCTTGCATCGTCGCCACTACTTCGTTCTTTTGATTTTTTCGCTCTTTTTACAACTGTTTTTTTTTCAACTTACAACTGTTTAAAATTTGTCCAAATTAAATGATACGTAGAACTAAGTAGTAGTTTTAATAACATCTCTTCACACTTGATATAAAAGCTTGTTTAATTGTAACTTACATCACTTATAATTACATATTTTATGCATTTCATATATATATATATATATATATATATATATGATTTTATACTTAATAAACTATAGAATGTCTAAAAGATCCAAATTAGTTCAAAATAATCTATTTTAATGGAATTTCAATCACATCTTTTCACACTTAGTATTAAAACACACTTGTTTTTTGTAACTTAAATTAGTTATAAATTTATAATTAAATATTTCATCCGTTTCTTATAATTTTTTTAATAAACTGTGGATTATATTTTTATTAATAATTCTTACCTAAAAAATTTGTAATAACATTAGTGTAAATTTGCCCCCACTCGACGAAATTTCTGGATACGCCACTGCTTGTGCGTGTATAAATATAGTACATGGCTGCATGGAGAT